TGAGATTGGAACATTTTGTAAAAATATTCTATTTGTTTATTTGTGAAAGCTAACGATTTAGGAGAAGATTCTTACTCCAAGTAAGAGCTATCAGCTTGGAGAGCATGACTGTCTTCCGCTGACATGATGTTATAATCTGGTTTCTTTTTTAAATTTGTTAATTTTCCTTACAATTTCTAGTAAGTTTCTCGAGTATGTCAAAGTCTCTTGCAATCATCACACCATGGCCGTTGTTTTCCCCAACGCCTTTCAACATTTGAATGTGTACTACGAGCTACAAGTGTTGATCCTTCACCAATTTTTCCAGACCCATTGCTGTTTTTCAGCATCACCTTTCGCGGAGCTTCCTCCTGTCGTACCTCTGCAAACACTTCCCTTATTGTTGGTAAGAGTTTCCTTCCAAGTATGTGACCTCTAATCTCATCTAATTCTTTATTTAAGCCAGCAAGGAAAACAAACACACGGCTTCTTTCAATTTTCTTCCTATATCAAGCACCATCATTAGGATTTTCCCCATATTCATCTTCAAACATATCTAATTCTTGTCATATCATCATCATATAACTATAATAAGTCTTGACCTCACGATCATCTTGTTGCATTTTTCTCATTCGAGTATTCAACTCATAAAATTTGGAATGATTATGTAAATCCGAATAAGTCTCGTGAACTGCATCCCACACCTCTTTTACTGTTGGCAGAAACATAAAAGGCTTTCCGATCCCTGGTTCCATGGAATTGATTAATCATACAGTCACTATTGAATTTTCAGAGTGTCATTGTCAGTATTTGGGATCACCTGAATCAGGTTTGGTAACCTCACTATTCAAATAACCTAATTTTCCTTTTCCATCAATCATTAGCCGCACAAATTGAGATCACTCAAGGTGGTTCTTTCCATTCAATTTGTGAATGGTAATCTAAAATAAATTTTCACTGAGGGAGATAGCTGAAGGTGTAGAGGAGATAACCATCGGAGACTAAGAAGCAATCCCTATCGAAATAGTATTACTTGTCTCTTCTGGAGGTGGTGTTCCAAAGCCAACCATGGCTGTTTTATAATTTATGATTGAACCCTAGAGCTCTGATATCATAAAAAAATTGATAGAGAAAGAAAAATAGTAGAAAATTATTTTTTTTATTTTCTAATAATGACAGATTATGTATATAGATAAAAAACAAACATAAAATCAAGTTAACAATAAATTCCATGAAATATATTCAAATCGCATAAAATCTAGAATTTATTTCAAACTTTGTAAGATTTATTCAAATCTCATGAAATATATGATTTATTTCAAAATGTTATATTCTAAAAACAAATCCTAACTTTACAAACTTATCTCTATAGACACTTCTAAACATTATTGTCCAAATAAAAACTCTAATCTTAGAATAAGCTTTCATTTTCCTAAAAAGAGGAAGAAAGAACAATGATGTTATTATCGCCGATATAAGTCAGATGATCAAAGAATACTTTTTTAGTCTATGATCCTGAAGAATCAAGGGACCAAGATGTAAAGTCATGGCTAGGACAGGGATAAAAGAAGTCCAAAGAGAGAACAAATACACCAAGTCGAAAACTTCATTCTCTCTTTTTTTTTTTTTTTTTTTTGCTTTCTAACTACTACAAAAAATGTAAAACTGGAATTTAAAAAGTCAATAGATTGCACTTGAACATATATCTTCTCAGTTCCTTAAGAAAAAGAACATAGATCCGCTTAAACCCTTAACTCTTTATTCTATCAATAACAGCTCAAGGTTCAGAGCAGGAACAGTATCAGAATGATACAGCCACTAGTCATAAGTAATAGTATGTCCATTTAGCA